TCTTTTTTTTTTTTTTCTTGTACGGTCAAAGCTGCTTTCGTCATTTTAGGACTTAACCTGTCCAGAACGGTGCACAAATTTTCCCTCCACAGCGAATCTGGAATAGCAACAGACACACCGTCAGTTTGAAAAGTATGGAATATGTTGCAATTTTGTCAAGATTATCAAGCGACTTTGGAAAAAAACAAAAAAAACCAAAACAAAATGAGAAAAAAGATTTAGAAAAAATAATAAAACCAACATTTAATAATTAAACGTTTGTGTTGTTCATATGGTGGTCTTTTCAATTCTTTTCTTTACAGCATCACACTCATTAGCTTTTCATTCATTTACACTGGTGAACCATCCACACGCAGTCACTGACTTTAATTATGCTTTCTGGAAGGTTTGGGGCCACTATTAACAGCCAGGAGCTGTGTTGCATGAATATATGACAGAGAAGCTTTATGACCACAATGAAAACCTCCATTACAGTAATGTCGGAGTAAAACATTATCCAGCACTGCAAATTTGTAAGCTGTAAAAATACTTTCTCTTGAAATGGTTTGGGTATTTTTTCTTTTTCAAATCGAAGCAACTCAGTGCATTTAGGTATGCAAATATAGTCAAGATGTCCTAATAAGGTCAACACAGAGAAGAGTGATTTAAGTGTCTTTTAATGTGGCCTGGTCATTGGTGCCAGGTGGGCTGGTCTGAGTATTTCAGCAACTGCTGATCTGCTGGGATTTACTCACATAACCATCTCTAGGGTTTACAGAGGATGATCAAAAAAAGGAAGCTATCCAGTGAGCAGCAGTTCTCTGTGAAAATATGACAATGTTGATGACAGAGGAGAATGGCAAAGCTGCTTTGAAAGGATAGGAAGCCAACAGCAACTCAAATAAACACTTGTTATAACCAAAGTATGGAGAAGAGCATCTCTGAAAGCACAGCATAGCAAATCCTGAAGCCAATGGGCTCGAACAGCAGAAGACCACACCTTGTTCTATCAGCTAAGAACAGGAAATTGAAAATACAATTTTCCATGGGCTCACCAAAACTGAATGGAAAAAGATTGGAATAATGTTTCCTGGTCTGATGAGTCTCCTTCAGCATTTAACATAAACAGCATGAAAGCATGGATGCATCTTTTCAGGCTGGTGTTGATAATGGTGTAATAGTATGAGGATATTTTCTTTTTTGGCCCCTTTAATCCCGAAATAGCATTGTTTAAATGCCACAACCTACCTGGGTGTTGTTGCTGACCACATCTATCCCTCCAGTGGCTGCTTCCAGCAGGATAACGCACCATGTCACAGATCACAAATCTTCTGAAACTGCTTTTCAGAATGAGTTCACTGTACTCAAATGGTCTCCACAGTCACCAGGTGGTAGAACAAGAGATTGTCATCATAGATGTGCAAACGACACATCGCCATCAACTATGTGATGCTGTCATGTCAGTATGGTCAGAAAATATCAGAGGAATTTTTCCAGCACCTTGAAAGAAAAGGGGTTGAACGCAGTAGTAGCAAGATATTCTTAAAAACAAACAAACAAAAAAACTGGCTGATGAATCTATATGCAGATAGTGGAAAATAGATGTGTGCAGCATATCAGAATATACTAACTGGAAAAGAAACCAGTGTCAAGATAAAGATACCAGTACAGAAAACATTGTAAACAATACAGTAAATGTTCTTCAATAAATATCCCAAGTTAGCCAGTAAGCTATCCAGTAAATGTGTGAGAAATGTCTATTGTAAACCTACAGAACTTGCAGCCGCTGCGTCGGGTCTCGCCGTCAGCCACGAACACGCTAACCTCCACCAGGTTTGGATTGGTGAACACTAGATCGCTGAGTAATAAAACTTTTATTTTAAGGGATTTATTTATGACCCAAGGACTGGATTTCCTCTGTATAACTGAGACATGGTTGAGGGCCGGTGAGTCCAGCGCTTTCACAGATCTCTTACCTGATGACTGCTGCTTTTTAAACTCACCTCGAATAGCAGGCAGAGGAGGAGGAGTAGCGGTTGTTTTTAAGAAGCAGTATAAATGTAAACCACTGCCATTATCAACCTCACCTAGTAGCTTTGAACTGAGCATGTCGTATTTTTAACCCTTCCTCTGCTGGACAGTTCTCTATTGTTTTTAATCAGAACGGCGGCCTTCCTGATTTCATATGCAATGATACAGAAGAGCTGAGTACGTGGTTTTACTCTGTCTGCCAAACTGCTTTAGATTCAGTGGCCCCCTTCAGGCTTAGGCAAGTAAAAGGCAAACCTGAACCCTGGCTGAATGAAGACACCCGGGCTGCCAGAAGAAAGTGTAGGAGAGCTGAACGTAAATGGAAGAAGGATCAACTTCAGGTGTCATACCAAATGTTACAAGATTACTGGAATTCTTACCAGAAAACTATAAAAGATGCTAAGAGGAAACATTTTGCTGCTATTATTCAGGCAAATTGTCGTAAGCCTCACGTCTTATTTAAGACTATTGACGTGGTCCTTCATGCTCCACAGACTGCTGGTGTCGAGTCTTCTCAGGAAATTTGTGAAAACTTCCTACACTTTTTTATTGATAAAGTGCTATCTGTCAAAGCGCAGACTTCCCAGTCCGTTCTCGACCCTTCTACCCCTGTCCCTAGTTCTGCTGTCTTTGACAGGTTCGAGCCAGTTTCCTTGCTCTGCTTGCAGGAGTTGGTTGCTCACATGAAGCCCTCAGG